GCCACAGCACTCCTGTGCACCCATCACAGCACCTTTCTCTCAGCCTTACGCTTGTTGAGTGCTGCTTCTGCCACCTCTGTCTTGTGCTGCTGCTGCCGCTTGTGCTGCTTATACGTCTTCTTGCCACTGCTGCGGCTCATGGCTGAGATTTCGCACCAGCACGTGCCTTGTTATGCGTTCTCCTGTATTCTTTGCTCGTTCTGCTCATCCTGCTGCAAGGTTTTTGTAACCTCCCCTGTTCTCTCGCTCATTCTCCTTTTTGTCCTCATTCTCCTTTTTGTCCTCATTCTCCTTTTTGTCCTCATTTCGTTCCTCTTGTTCCTCCTTGCTCCGTGAACAGCTTGAAGTGGCTGCTGCTATCAGGAAACCAAATCACCAACATCCCAGGGAATGATGGCTCGCCTGCAAACGCCTCTACCTTTCACAACCTGCACCATCTTTCATTAGGTACGCACTTTTGCGAGCTCTCATAATTCACTTACGAGATCACTGGTAAGACTTCAACCAAAGATGAATTTGATTTATGCGCATTGCCTGAAATTGTACCTGTGCACATACGTCATACTCCTCCCTCCTTGCCTGATTCCCAACCCAGCTGACAACAACATGTCTCAGTGGTCGTCCGTATATGCCCTGGCCATCACATGCTTTTCAATGTCATGCAACACAGCTTGAGTCAACTTGAACTGCTACCTGTGTGTGCACTCCTCCCTCTTTCACCCCATTCCCAACCCAGCTGACAGCAGCATGTCTCAGTGGTCGTCCGTATATGCCCTGGCCATCTCATGCTTTTCAATGTCATGCAACACAGCTTGAGTCAACTTGAACTGCTACCTGTGTGTGCACTCCTCCCTCTTTCACCCCATTCCCAACCCAGCTGACAGCAGCATGTCTCAGTGGTCGTCCGTATATGCCCTGGCCATCTCATGCTTTTCAATGTCATGCAACACAGCTTGAGTCAACTTGAACTGCTACCTGTGTGTGCACTCCTCCCTCTTTCACCCCATTCTCAACCCAGCTGACAACAACATCTCTCAGTGGTCGTCCATAGATGCCCTGGCCATCACATGCCCGAACCTCAATGTATGGCACATGTTTTTCCCCAACATCACATTCCCGAACCTCAAGTACAATGTCCAATCTCTCTTCTCAAGTTCTACAATACTTTGGATTTCTCCAATCTCAACTTGAAGCTTGCCGACAAATTTTTTATTTTTCAACCTTGCTTCTACCTTCCCTTCAACCTGTCTCTTTCCCTTTCATCTCTCCCCTCTTTATCAACATCCCAATCTATTCTCTCGCCAGGAGCTTGTTCTCTCCCACAAGCCATATGTGCCCAGATTGCATTCAGCCAATCAAACGCCAGCATCAGCCAGTGCTCCAGCCAATGGCAACGTGACGAAGTGCAACGGGACAGAGGGCAGGGCAACAGCGAATGGGAGCCTGACACCTGGCAGTGACGGTGCTGCTGCTGCTGATGGGGAGGAGGGTGGGAGGGTGGAGAGGTGTGAGTTTGGGCTTGGGGTGACGGAGGAGGGGAGGATGGGAGTGATTGCGAGAATGGGGTCAATTCAGAAGCTCAATTGTGTTCAGGTGAGATTCTCTACATCTCAGATCATGATGGGGTCGATTCAGAATTACAAGGTCAATCCAAAAGCTCGATTCCGCATAGGTCAATTCAAAGCTCAACGTTGCTCAGACGAGTGGAAATCTGTGAAGCTCCCTCAATACCAGGTAGAAGAGAGTGATGAGATGATGGAACTCAGGGAGCGCTTGGATGCAGAAATAGGCACATCTCCCATGCCATCTCAACAATTTTGTGTGTGTTTCCATGCCTGTTTGCATGCCTGCCTGCTTATGCATGTCCCCGTGTGTAATCAAGACATCAGATCCTACCCAGGGAGCGCATGGATGCAGAGATATGGTACATCTCCCACACCATCCGATCGCTCCCCCATGCCACATCCGTTCCCCAACTCATCTCCTCCGGCCACCCAGCAATCCCTGCTCTTCTTGCCAAATTAGGCCTTGACTTGGTATCAGAGCGACGGAAACTCCTCCCAGGCGTCCATGCCAACGCTTCCACAGCTGCTACTCTTGCTCCTGGTTCTGCCGGTGCTGCTGGTGGTGCTGGCAGTGCTGGCAGCAATGCTGCTGATGTTACTGCCAGCTCCAACCGCCCCAGAAGCTCTTCGTTCCTCAGTAAGCCCTCAGACCCCTCCTCTTAGCAACCCTCCCCCACTCCGTGATCTCCTTCCACTCTCTCTTTTTTCTACCTTCCAAGCCTTTTGATGTCTTTTCCATCAACCTCTGAGCCTATTCATAAGTGAATGCTCTCCTTGCCATCACCCCTCCGTTTGCGCTCGTTTGTTTTGTTCATTCCAGGCATCACTTTCCGGGTGATTGCTCCTGAATGTGACAGTAGCAGCATGGCAAAGGAAGTTACCAAGAAGCTTCCTCAGTCCACAACTGTAAGTGCTAGCTCGCTAAAAATATAGCATCTGTTCACTCATCGCTCAAGACACTACTGCTGAGTTGAATCGCTGGTGTTTGAAAAGCCTGCTGACAAGAATTGGCTTAACAGGCATGTCACACAAGCTGTCACTGAACCAGCATGTTCGCTCGTGGGTCTCAGCTGTCCAGAATGACATTTTTCTCGACTAAAGGCACATGCTGGTCACAGCATGGTCCAGCATGGACACATGCTGTTCATCCATTCGCCCTCCCTTCGCTGCACGTGCACATCTGAACTGCATGGTCACAGGTGTCTAAAATGCGACCCCTCATTGCTCGATTGCTCAAGCTGGAGCCCCACTCCTTCTCCCTCTTCCTCCTGCCATCCACCCTCGAAGGCGTTCAGGTAGGGAGGCAGGGAGTTGTGAGAAGGGCTTGAGGGTAGAATTTTAGAGCTTAGACTTACAGGCTTGCGTGATTTACGTCTCTTGGTTACCTGAGAGGGGCTCGGAGGGATGGACTCTAGAGCTTACGATTACAGGCTTGCTGGATTTGCGGGCCTCTCACTTCACTCCTGCTAGAGACGATACCATGCCTTTGGGAGTGCTGGTGCGTTCTGGTACTATAGCTCCCTTGAGTGCTTCTCGAATGGTGGATGCTTTACAAACCAGCATCCTTATTGATGTGCTTGTTGCTTTATGCTGTTCTTTCTCCCACGCGCCCTGCAGCCTCTCCCTTCACTCCTACTGGACGATACGGTGCCTTTGGGGGTGCTGCTGCACTCTACTACCACAGCGGCTTTGAATGCTTCACAAGCGACCATCCTTGTCGATACCTCGCTGGTGAGTACATGATGTATTCTGGGGTATCAGCACACCTATACTTCATTCGCCATTACCTTCAGCGACGTTGATGATGATGTTTCATTGACAAAATTGGAATGTTTTTCTCCTCCCCCTTTTTTAATTCTATTGTACAGGATGTTCAGCAGGCAGAATCGCTTTCAGTTCCTCAAGTTTTGGCATGTGAGCAACGGTTACTAAAATTGCAGGAGAAAGTGTGAATTATGCGTTTGCTCAATATTGCTTAATGAACTGGGTAGTAAGTTATGCTGACTATTTATTGTTCGCTTGAGCCAACAAGATAGTACAGTTAGGCTCCCCGCTAAGGACACACCGCAACATCCAGGCTTTTCCCGCCTCTTTCACCCTAAAATATGCTTGTCTGACAGCTCTCTTCCAACAATCGAGGCCGTCCGATTTCGTTTTAACGCACTGTACACCCTCGATCTTCCACGGCACGACATCCCCTTGAAGTTGTCACCCAGCTCACGGATCACGACACATCCCAACCAATTCCCAAGGCCCTGAGCTCTCCATTTTCTGTTTTCCGCTCCATTTTCACGAATCTTCTCCATTCTACTTTTCCTCCCTTTTGGCTAATATGGTCTCCTTAGCTGTCTCCGAGGTGGGATCTTGTTGAGCTCCTTCTTCCCAGCACCGCGCTTCTCTTATAGCATCTCGTCTAGCACACTAGAACCATGATCTGTTCCCAGCGATCGCTTTGCACGTTCGACTCCTCCAATCTCTGGCCTCTCGAGAGGGAATCTCTCGCTAAGCCATACTCGTCGAACAGGCTTTTTTACTTCTCAATGGCCCGTACTTTCTCTACCGTACGTTTGTTCTCTTACGACAAAAAATATCCACGCGTCGGTTCTTGTATGGCCGACGATTTGCGTAGAGTAAGCAATATGGAACCCTGTCAAATCGTTGGCCAATCGGAGTGCAGAAGCAAGCACCACCCAGCACGTGAGCGGCATCAATCCCGGCGCTCGCTATTAGCTCTTTCGGCTCGCCCTAGCGAACGCGCTAGCCATGCCACGTGTACGAGAAGTCGATCAACCGAGCGCCGCCAACGATTTTGCGAAGCGTCGATTGCGTCCTGTCGTAGAGCGTCATATCGTAGACTGCTGCCCTACGATAGAGACCCTCCGTGGGTCCTGCAGCGGCGAGTCGCGGCTCTTCTCAGCGAAGGCTTCGTCGTGTCCTCAGCCTCCGAGGTTTCTCAAATACCCCTGGTTCAAACAGAATCCGGTACGGGTTGGTCTGGGTGTCTGCCTGCGGGGTGATTTTGAGGCACCTCAAGAACTAGTCGGCCTCACCTGCCGGGAGTTGTCATATACCCGCGCTTTGCTCCGTATTTCGTGCGGGTTCTTATAGTTGCGAGCTGCGTGGCCTCACTAAACGAGAGCAGCTGCAGCAGCCTCGGCAGCCGCAGCCGCAGCAGCATCACCATTGGCGGCACTCCACGCCGCCGCTAGCGTCATCGCCAGCGCCGCCGCTAGCACGCCATCAACGCCGTCGCCTGCACCAGCACGGGGACCGGCATCAGCAGAGAAGTGAAGCCTTTGCGGGGAGAGGCAGGGGCGTGGCGCACCTGACGTTCCGTTGCGCTGCCGCGCTGTCGCTGCAGGGCCACGTGCCTGTTGTGAGGAAGACGCGAAGTTGCCGCTGTTGCGAGGAAGACAAAAGGGTATCCGTGTTTGTATGGACTCCATTCCGGAGTTCGACGAAGAGATTGAGATGATCGGGAGCGAGGAGGAGCGACGGGTGGCCGTGGCGATGGGCGGCGGGGGGGGAGGTGCTGCGGGGATGGGCGGCGGGGGGAAAGGTCCTGGGGGGGTGGGAGGGGGAGCTGGCGCTGTGGGGATGGGGGCCGGAGGGGGCGCTGTGGGGATGGGCGCGGATGGGCTGGGGAAGGGGAAGGGGAAGATGAGTCCGAGTGATGAGGAGGCGGCATATAGGGCAACGTATGGCTCGCACTTTGATGCGGAATATGATGCTTCTGATAGTGGCTTGAGTGCCAACGGCTCAGATGCTTCTGGAGATGCAGCCGTGGCTGGTTGGGTTGAGAGGAGCAGGAATGGCAAGGGTGAGGAGCGCAGCGGTAACAGCGGAAACAGCAGGAGCAGCCGCAGCAACGAAACCACTGGTGGCAATGGTAGCGGCAGCGGCAACAATGGTAACGGCAGCAATGGCAGGGGCAGCAGCAGGAGGCACGGCAGGAGGGAGCAGCAGCGGAGCAGGCGGGCGGCTGAGATAACTGAAGTCCCGATCCCTGAGGACTACGAGGAGGAAGGGGCTGCTCCAAGCAACGAGGAGAGCGCTCCTTCAGGGGGTACGTCTCTGGTTACCCCTGGGGCTCCCCCGGGGGTGGCACCTCAGGGGAATGATCGACTGCAGCAGCAGCAGCAGCAGCAGCTGCAGAGGACGGTGTGGGAGCTTCGCTCAGGCGTTGCTCCTGCTGCTGCGGCTGCTGCTGCTGCTACTGCTGCCGCTGCTGCTGCGACGGCCACTGCTGCTGCGAATGGTACTGTTCGTGGTGGTGGGAGCTCCAGGAATCATCGCACCAAGTCTGATTCAGCTGCTCGTGGCAATGCCACCACTCGTGGTGGTTCTGCTGCTGCTGCTGCTGCTGCTGCTGCTAGCCCCCACCTCACTGCTGCAACCGCTCCCAACGCTGCTATCTCTCCTGCTGCTCCTCCATCCGCCCCAGCATCGTCTCTCCCTTCCCCCCCTCTTCCCTCCTCACCTCCTCTCGCCCCCAACGTCTCCCCCGCCTCCCCCACTCTCTGGTACACCCCGCTCTCTCCCATTCTCCCCGGTCCCCCCAATGGAACCCCCCAGCACCGCTCTAAACCCCGCAGCACCCCGTCCTCCTCCCCTTCCGACTCCACCTTCAGCACCCTCACCACGGGTAGCAAACCCAACTCCTCCCCTGTTCCCTCTTCGTCCCCCGCCTCCTCCTCCGCCTCCCCTCCGCCTGCTTCTATAGCCTCTTCCGCCCCTGGGGGCGGCCTCTGCCCGGGGATAGACGGCGGGATATGCAACTTGCGCATGTCGTCCCGCACGCATTTCTGCCTCATGCGTTGCATCTCACTTGGCACCGTGCTGGCCGGCCTCGGATACCTCTCCTGGAAATGCTTCATAGTGGGGCGGAACATCACCCACGCTGGACCGGCCTGCCTGCTCTTCCTCTCCACCGAAATCCTCGTCTTCCTCTCTTCCTTCATGCTAGTCGTTGAGTTGTCCAAGCCGGCGAAAGAGAGGAAGGCGCTGAGTCTCCCGCCCTCGGGGCCGTTTCCGAGGGTTGCGATCCTCATCTGCTGCTGCAGCGAGAAGATAGATGTGATCCAGGACACGGTTAAAGGGGCTATGAATCAGAATTACCCCGGCGAGAGGTACTCGGTGTGGGTGCTGGACGATGGGGGGGATGATGAGCTTAAAGCCTGGGTAGAAGCAGAAGCGATGGAAGGGTGGAGCGGAGGAGGTGGGGGGGGCGGAGCAGGAGCAGCAGGAGGGGAAGTAGGAGGAGGGGAACAGGATCAAAGCGAGCAGGGGCAGCTGCAGCGGCAGCAGCAGCTGATGGTGCAGCAGCAGCAGCAGGGCCGGCGGCTGTTCTACCTCCGTCGCCCCAAGAAGAAAGGCGTGCCTCACCACTTCAAAGCAGGGAACATCAACTACGGGTTGCACTTCGCCTGCGGGGAGTTTGTTGCAGTCTTGGATGCGGATATGATTCCCTCGCCCTTCTTCCTGTCGGCGCTGCTGCCGCACATTGTCGGGGAGGAGAAGGGCGATGTGGCGTTTGTGCAGTGCCCGCAGTCGTTTTACAACATTGTGAAGGGGGATCCGCTGAATGACTCCTCGCAGGACTTTTACGATGTTCTGCTGCCCTACAGGTGTGGCTTTTGAGTCTACTCGAAACGGTGATGGTGGTGTTTGTTTAATGCTCGCAATCATTACATTCCCCGTTTCTGCCATTCCTTTGTTCGCAGCCATTACATTACTTTCCTCCCACCTGCAAACGATAAGGTTTTGTGAAGATGGATAAGGTCTCAAAACTCCATCTTCCCTGGTTTCCATTCCCTCTCCCCCTTCCCCAGAGATGGTCGGGACAGTTCACAGTGCGTGGGCACAGGAGTTATCTTCCGCGCCGCCCACCTGCAAGCAGTAGGGCAGTGCGACTTCTCATTACTCGATTGTTCTCCTAAACCCCCCTTTCTCTTGTTACTTCCCCAGAGATGGCCGTGACAGTGCCCAGTGCGTGGGCATAGGAGTCATCTTCCGCGCCGCCCACCTGCAAGCAGTAGGGCAGTGCGACTTCTCATTACTCGATTGTTCTCCTAAACCCCCCTTTCTCTTGTTACTTCCCCAGAGATGGCCGTGACAGTGCCCAGTGCGTGGGCACAGGAGTCATTTTCCGCGCTGCCCACCTGCAAGCGATTGGGTTGTGACACACACGTCTCACTACTCGTCCCTTCTTCCCAATCTTTCCCTCTTCCCCTTTTTCTTCCCCAGAGATGGCCGTGACAGTGCACAGTGCGTGGGCACGGGAGTCATTTTCCGTGCCGCCCACCTCCAAGCAATCGGCGGGTTCACAGTGGGGTCGATAACAGAAGACTTCGATACCGCTATGACTCTGCATGCCAAAGGGTACAAGACGGCCTATGTCAACCAGGTGAGGTTGGGGGGTGATGTGCCCACATACTGGAATGCAAGGGACTGGGCATGCTGGAATAGGGAAGGGTATCCACAGTGGGTTCGCAGTGGGGTCGATCACAGAGGACTTTGACACCGCAATGACGCTGCATGCCAAGGGGTACAAGACGGCCTATGTCAACCAGGTGCGGTGATTGAGAGATGGTTGAGAGGCATGCCCCATGTGACTGGAACGCAGTGCTTGTGTTTCACGGTGGGGTCGATCACAGAGGATTTTGACACGGCAATGACGCTGCATGCCAAGGGCTACAAGACTGCCTATTTCAACCAGGTGAGGGGGAGGAATAAGGTTCTAGATGCTTGAAAGCAAGGGACGAAACGTGCTGAAACAGGGGGGCTTAAAGCAAGGGTGCACTTTGGGGGGGGTGGAGGCAAAGGTTTATCACTTGCCTCACCCTCCGTCGTCTATTCCCCCAACCCAACTCGCGGGCGAATTATTTTTGTGTTCGCCAGCACATTCTCCAACCCTCTCTCTAGTGTTTCATATGGTTGGACTCTTCGCCAACCATTCAGAGCACCCCAAGGGGTGTACCAAACAAATACACCCGAAACCCACCCCTAGGAATGTGCACCCTTGCTTTAACGGTCGGGCCGATCACAGATGTTTTCGACACTGCCACTTCTCTGCTTCCCGCTTCCCTCCTGCCTCTTCTTATGACAATACTCCTTCCTCATACCATCTCATTTCCTCATGTGTGACTTTTGAGGCGCCTAAAAAAAAAGCGGGTAGACCCGCTTCCCTCCTGCCTCTTCTTATGACAATACTCCTTCCCCATACCATCTCATTTCCTCATGTGTGACTTTTGAGGCGCCTAAAAAAAAAGCGGGTAGACCCGCTTCCCTCCTGCCTCTTCTTATGACAATTCTCCTTCCCCCTACCATCTCATTTCCTCGTGTGTGAGACGGTAACAGCGCCTACAAGCAGGTCTGGCGCTGTGGAGCTTGGAGGGGTACATCAAGCAGCACTAGCGGTGGGCCACTGGGAGCCTGCACACCCCCCGTCATTCCCACTCTCTCCCTTCCCTTCACTTCTCTGCATGGCTTTACCCTCACAACAGCGCTTGCAAGCGGGTCTGGCCCCGTGGAGCCTCGAGGGTTACATAAAGCAGCACCAGCGGTGGGCCACAGGCAGCCTGCAGATTCTGCTACACCGTAACCCGCTTCTTCTCCGCGCACCCAAGTTCAGTTTGTACCGCCGGATCTCCTACTGGTATGCTGGTGAGTGCCGGAAGCCCCTTCCTCCCCCTGCTTACTAATATGCCGGTGAGTCACTGAGCGGCCACAGACAGCCTGCAGATCCTGTTACACCATAACCTTCTTCTGCTGCGTGCGCGCAAGTTCAGCCTGTGTCACCGCATCTCCTGTTGGTTGGTACCTGAATGTGATGCTTCTCATGATCCTCATCTGCCTTTCTAACCAACTTCTGTGATGCAAACACACAACTTCCCCCAAATCCCACTCCTTTCTCCTACCAGGCGTACAGTACTACCTCAACGTGATCGTCATCATGATCCTCGTCCTACCTGTCCTCATCCTGGCCCTTGATCTCCGCATCATGCCGCCCGGCCCCATCTTCGAAACCACCCGCCTCTACATCATCCTCCTCGTCCCCTACGTGTTCACCTCGCGCCTCCTCTGCCTCGGCCTCTTCTCCCGCCTTCCCAACGGCATGATGGTTCAGCTGAGGGGAGAGCAGGTTTGGTACTGGATGTCTTTTTTCAACTGCATGGCGATCCTCCGGTTTTTTTTCCCGTTCATTTCGAAGAAATTTGAGGCCACGGGCAGCACGAAGAAAAAGGCGCCGGCGGTGTGGGAGAGGCTGATGACTGTGTGGTTCCATGTGGGGTTCTGTGTGGCGGGGGTTGGTGCCGTGGCGTGGCGATTTGCGACGGTGGACTTTCATGACTGCGGGATGGTATGTACAAGCAAGGTTTATCTGCTTCAAAAGCCATTTATCTTGTGGAGTCCTCCTCGTCTCCTTGCTCGTTTTACTGACCTTGTTTGGCTTGGGTTGTGTACCATTTATGTTAATGTCCCCTCTTTTGGCTATTCACTGATTTCACTTGCCTTCTTATCCCTGCTGTCCTCTTTCCACCTCACGACCTTATCCTCTTGACCTGGTTCCATTTCCTTTTTCGTTCTGTTCCATCCCTTTCTCACAACCCTTCATATTTTTCTGTCCATTTGTGTCTCTTGCAGCTTCTCAAGGTCACCTCATGGGCTCCCTTCATCCTCTTCTCAGTGCAAAGCATGCTCGTGCCGATAATCCACGTCATCATGTCCCCAACTCATCCTAAAGTGGAGGATCGGAGGAAGTACCTCAATTATGATGAGTATGGTGTGCCATATCTGAGGCCTGAGCAGCTGCTGCCGAAACGCGATTATCGCATCTTGCTCTTCAACGTCATCCCTGCCATCTGGGCGGTGACCATAGGATTCTACTTCTATGCGGCGATCACCAATTTCAGACCTGGTTTCTGCACCAAGAGCGGGTTCTTTGGGTACCCTAGGTTCTAGATAGCTTCCATAACTTGCCTTCATGATCTGTATGTGCTAGTTTCGTTGTATGTGATGTAGACTTCATCAATAAAGATCACGTTAAGCACACTTTACAGGTGACTCAAACGAGGTGTCGCATGAATGTCGGCTTGACTGTTCCTCACCGACCTCGGGTCCACCGATTTCAAGAGTCGGATGCGGCCTGGTTGCGTGACGGGTCAACAATCGAGTTCGTCCGTGTTCCAGCAACCAACGGCTTAGATGGTCCGCTCCCCGGTCCAGCGACTAGGCGAAGGCGAAACAATGATACTGTACAGCCCAGCCGAAATTGAAACGAAAATCCACGAGAAGAGCCATGTTGCACAGCAACACAGATACAGACATCCAATGTTTCGCATTTTTCGCCTACTGGTTTTACTGCGTGCTAGGTAGAATTGAGGGGTCATTTTCCTTCCACCATGTGTAACTGCGACTCGACTGCATGCCACCTAACTTGGTCCACAAATCGCTATGCTGCGTACACGCTGACGCGACGAGGTGAAGCTTGTCGGTGCTGCCTCTCCCATGTAGTGGGTAGCGCAGCGCACTGTTCAAAACCAGGTGTTATCCTCCACCTACCAGTCCACCCCACTCCACTTCACTCCCCCCCCCACACGGACGCTTAGGTCTATCTAGCCACACGATTTATGACGCGCCTAGGAAAGCGCAGGTGCAGATGAGCTTTACCCCTGGAAAGTGTCGTAGTTAGTTCTTGCATCTTCTTGCATTGTCACGAATCCGCAAGTCGTTCGACGGGATATTTTTTCTACCCTATACCTTCGCACACATTCTGGTCGACTCATGAACAGATTCGATACAGGCGTATAACGTTTCACGACACTAGACGATACATCTAACCTGCGTAGCAGCATGGCGGCGGGCCGTTCCTTCGCGCGATCGAGCCTGCAAATAACCGTTATTCGACGCTTCGATGTAAGGAAACTATTTACGAGCGCGTTAATCGCGTCCTTAATTTGCGCCGCGAGCTGCGCTGACACGGACGCCGTATGGGCCAGTGGTAGCACGACACGTGCAGGGAACGGCGGGAGACGGCTAGCGACGGCGGCGGCGAATGGGGTAACCAGCTTCCAACCGACGCAGGCGACAGTGTGCAATTTCTCCCGCGCTGGGCAGTGGCTTTCGCGAAACAAGGCTCCCTACGGCGCCGACTGCCCTTTCCTCAAGGTATTTGCTAGCGCCGATGCGACGGGATTCGCGCCCACATGAGGAGATTTTTGTTTTGAGACGTCTCAAAACTAGACTGCGGCCCTTTCCTCAAGGTAATTGCTAGCGCCGATGCGCCGATGCGACGGGATTCGCGCCCACATGCAGCATCTTTTTGCGCCCATGCGGCAGGCTTGCCATTGTTGCTTTACCCTCTCCTTTCGCTCACCCACAGCCTCTCTCCTCTTCCATCTCCCCCCAATCCCGTCTCCCCTCCCCTCCCCCCCCCCTCCCCCTCTCCCCCCTTCTTTCCCCCCTTCTTTACCCCCCGCCTCCCCCTCAGCCGCCCTTCCTCCTTCCCCCCAACCAACTACACACCATCTCCCCCTCCTAATTCCCCCCGCCCCTTCCCCTCTCTTCTCCCTGTCCCGTGTCCTACCCTTCACACGACTGTATGGTATCTCTCTCAACAGAACGTGGGTCCAGTAAATTGCATCATCAAGCCTCGAAATCGCCCCAAGAACTGGCTGGTGAGAAATGGGTTGGGTACGGTGGGGCAGGGTACTGGTTTGTCCCATTTTGCAATGACCAAGCTTGCTTCTGCTGCTTTTCTTGTTCCGGTAAGCGAGTTTCGAGTCGTCAGAATAACCAGCCCAGGCGGGAACATGACTCTAGGACGCTACAGTGGGGTGATAGATGGACAGGGGTGCCTTTGCTCCAATATAATCCTTCCACTACCCCCCGCCCCCAGAATTATCGCTACAGACCCAAGAACTGCGGGCAGCCATGGTTCTCCTTCACCCCTCTGGCCTTCCTGCAACGAATGAGCAACAGGTGAGCACGGATGAGTAGTCTGAATAGAGAGGTGGGTGGAAGGATAAAAAAGGGGAAAAAAAAAAGAGGTCACGGTTGTGGGCAATTTAGGGGTAGGGGGTTTGACTGGCAGCAGTTCAGTCTGTTTGACATTTGAATGTACAAACTGTCGTTCTCACAGCTTTCCATCTGGCATAGTGCTTGCTTAGATTCTGCATCCCTCCCGTCTAATTCTTGTTCTATCTGGCAGGGTGTTTGCTTCAGTGGGCGACTCACTCTCTGTCAGCAATCTCATGCCGTCGCTTTTGTGTCAGGTGAGCAGCCATTGCTGTTTGTTGCCCTTTGGTTTGGTCACTACGTTTACTTACAATAAATATGGGAGAATGCGTTTTTGTTTGTTGCTGAACATGCGACACAATGCCCTTACCCCGCCCTCCCCTCCCCTCCCCCCCCCCCCCCCCCCGCCCCCTTCCCCTTTGTTATTCTGACCATTACTTATAGCCCGTTGTCTCATTAACGGTCCTTCTTTTCTGCTACTACGTGTTTTTTCATTTGTATATTATTTTGTTTTTCTTCTTTTTTTCTTTTTTTTTCCTTCGCTTTCCTATGCTTTATGCAGATACACCAAGTCTCTCCTGTGACCGAGATTCCTAACGACGGCACATACGCAGCGCAAGGCCCGCTCACTAAAGTGTACCGAGTCAAAGCGTACAACATTACGTTGATAAACACATGGAGTACATTTCTTAACGAGTACTGGCAAGACGAACAGGTGAGCATTGTTTTTAATCCCATCCACAAGCCAAATTACTCTTTTAACACAAGTCAGCTCACTCACCACTCCTACCATAGTACAACCTGATGTGGACCTCCATACCCCTGTGCTGTGCTCCCGACTTTTGAGGCGCCTTAGGAATTAAGTCAGCTCACCACTGTCCTTCCTTACCATAGTATTATCTGATCTGGACCACCATATTCCTGTGCTCTCCCTTCCCTCACTTCTTCCTTCCCAGACGGCCCAACAGTACAATGGAGGCGTTTCCTTCGGACGAGGATTCAGTGGTGAACCTAGACGGGCTCGATGCACAGTGGGCGATTGTGGGAAGTCTCAAGCTGAATTCTACCGCACACCCTATGCCCCCCTTTTGTTCTCTCCCTGTGGAGGCGTTGCCTTAACGGACGAGGATTCTGTGGTGAACCTAGACGGGCTCGATGCACAGTGGGCGATTGTGGGAAGTCTCAAGCTGAATTCTACCGCACACCCTATGCCCCCCTTTTGTTCTCTCCCTGTGGAGGCGTTGCCTTAACGGACGAGGATTCTGTGGTGAACCTAGACGGGCTCGATGCACAGTGGGCGATCGTGAAGATATTTGGAATCAACCTACAATACCCCTACCCCTATGCTCCCTTTTCGCTCTTGCTCCTTCCCAGACCGTTCAGCAGTACAACGGAGGTGTTCCTTTGACTGACGAGGATTCTGTGGTAAACCTTGACGGGCTCGATGCGGGCGATCGTGAAAGTTCTCAACTTACCCTACAACATCTCTATGCCCCCTAATATCCCTATGCTCCCCTTCCCTCTCTCTCCTTCCCAGACAGTCCAACAGTACAACGGAGGTGTTCCATTGACCGACGAGGATTCAGTGGTGAACCTAGACGGGCTCGATGCGCAGTGGGCGGCTTATATCGAGCGGTACGACGTGCTTATATTGCAGACGCAGGCGCACTGGCAGGCCACTAAGTATAAGTGGCGGCGATTCTGGGTGAACAGCACTGGGGATCAAATCTACAACGAGTCGAGATTCATGGCTGCGTTTGAGTAAGTGGTGCTTATTGCAAGGAAATTACTTGGATGGACTCCTGTCCCTTGAATGCCCTTTTTTTTGTTTCACAAAATGTATTAAACGAAAAGAGATGCTGTGTTGTTTCTGTCACATTATTATCTGCAGGTATGGCATGGAAGCAATCAAGAACTTCCTTGACCAACCAGAGGCGCCGGTCACTTATTTTATTTCTGCCCCAGCGAGATTGGATGGATGCATGGCACTGAAGGCACCATACACAGATGCACAGGTATTTCATGATGCTACATTGATGTGCCGTTTGGGTGTAACGTTATCATATGTGGTATGCATATTAATTGTATGGGATGCATTCATATGATTGTTGTTTCAACCTCTATCTTCCTTCACACTGCTGTCTTTTTCAACGTGCACATGCAGGTTGCAACAATTCGCAAGAACAATCGTCAGTTTGTTGCTTGGTTGCCGCTGCAACAAAAGGTATTCACAGGCACGAGGATACAAGTGATAGATGTCACAACATCGTCCCTTTATAGGCCCGATGCATTTGTCGGATCAGGGGGGGTAAATAAGGATTGCCTACACTGGTGCCTTCCAGGCGTTCCTGATTGGTGGGTTGCTATGGTCAATCACTTTTTGGCCAATGAGCCCACGTTGACAGCCTAGTCTGTACATCATGGAGATTAAGCAATGTTTTTGCTGTTACCGGTATGTGATTTACAAGCAACATGGCAAATTGATCAAAATACACTTCTCGCATAAGTAGCAAGCAAAATGTGCATTTAGCGCGTCGCACCGTTTGCTTCACCGCTGGTCAACCTCGCACTGTCGTGCGCCCGAAGCGCCCCTTGCTCACCCGAGAAAATCTGGAAGTGCGTCGTTTTTCCCCACATCGTTTTCAACTCGCAATTCTATGCGACGATTTTTCCTGTCGTCACCGTAGTTTGCGGGCAAGGCAAAGCCAGGACCTGATAGTCTCGTCTCGTCGTCCAATCGCTTGTCGCCATAACCTCGGTCAATCAAAGACTGACTCAGCAGCAGCGGTAAATTCTCGCGCCATCTAATCAGGTCGAACAGCTCATAGTATCTTGATAGTCAACCTGCACATAATAATCTCCCGTCAGCAGTAACTCACTGTCTCGTCGCGTGGTAACTGCACGCTCGACGAGTCGCCTAACAGACTGTCTCAGCTCGCAAGTAGTACTAAACTGTTCACGTATTTGACTGAACAATGGCGGTCGACCGGACTACTATGAGCCTGCGATCTTTCCGGAATTTTGTCACCGAGTAACCCGATACTTTCTCGCATGGCGACTGCTCGTCGCCCAGCCGTCCATCCAGAGTCGCACGTCAAACTACTTCGTTCCCGGAAGCATCATTCCCTAATATCGCATCGTCCTCTAACGTATCCTCTCTTAACAAATTGTCCCCTAACGCATCGTTGTATAGATCGTTCCCCATTGCGAGGTAGTTCGCTAACAGGTCACAATCATGCTTCCACTTTCCTTACCGCCGCCACCCTCCTTATTCTGGCACTTTTAGCAGCTTCCCTTCCCTTATTGAGTAAAGCGGGCACCGCCGAGATTGTGATTACAGCGAGAGTGACTGAGAAGAAGGTGAATACAGCGGCGAGAGTGAGTCGGAAGAAGGTGATTACAGCGAGAGTGACTGAGAAGAAGGTGATTTCAACGGCGAGAGTGAGTCGGAATAAGGAGATTATATCGAGGTGCAACTACTCCGTCGGTCGATGGCTTCCCGTGACTCCCGCCATGCAGCACGGCGCGTATCGTGTTGACTGCCCCTTCCTCAAGGTGCGCATTCCGTCCCCCAGGTTCCCCCGCATCGGAAGTTCCCCCGCAGCGAGTTCCCCCGCAGCGAGTTCCCCCGCAGCGGAAGTTCCCCTCTAGAGACTCCCGCCATGCAGCACGGCGCGTATAACGCCGACTGCCCTTTCCTCAAGGTGCGCATTCCGTCCCCCAGGTTCCCCCGCATCGGAAGTTCCCCCGCAGCGAGTTCCCCCGCAGCGAGTTCCCCCGCGGCGAGTTCCCCCGCAGCGGAAGTTCCCCTCTAGAGATTCCCGCCATGCAGCACGGCGCGTATAACGCCGACTGCCCCTTCCTCAAGGTGCGCCGCGTTTCGCGCTGCCAGAAGATTCCACAATCCCATCGGAACGGAAGCTACTTTTCTTTCAGGCCTTTCAATCTCCTATTGAATCGGAAGTTCTTCTCCTCCTGGCAACACATGTCGCAAGGCGAAATCTCCTCGCCCATTCCCCGCGCCTCTTCCCCTCGCCCATACCCCGTCACCCATGCCCCGCACCAATTCCTCGCGCCCATTCCCCGCGCCCATTCCCCACGCGCATTCCCCGCGCCCATTCCCATAACGCATTCTTCTTGCCCATACTCCTCGCCCATACCCCCGCGCTCATTCCCCGCGCCCAATCCCCGCCCATTCCCACGGCCGTTTCCGCGCCCCTTTTCAGCAACTATTCCCCGCCCCCATACCCCGCGATCGTTCCCCGCGCTCATTCCCCTCGCTCATCCCTGCGCCCGTTCCCCCCGCCCATTTCCTGCGCCCGTCCCCCTGCCCATTTCTCGCACCCATTCCCCGCGCCACTTCCCCTTTTTTCCTGCAGGGCATTGGTGCTGCCTAGTCCCCTTTCCCCACTTTCCCCTCCCTTTCCCCCCTTCTTCCTTCCCCTTCCTCCCCTGCAGGGCACTGGACCTGTGAGCTGCTTAGTCAACAAGCACAAGCGACCATTCCCGTGGCTGGTAGGTTAAGGACATCCGCGTTACTAGAAACTCGCGATAAAAACTGTCAACCTGACTGGTGTAGAAACGCTTGATGGGAGGATGCGTGTGACGTCGCATTGGTCGAACCAGTAAGTGCTTTTATAGCGAGTACAGCAGCTGCTTCTATAACGAGCCCAAGCTCCCTTGCAACTGGCTGGCTTGCTGGCAAGGGGCCTCGCTTGTAGGAAATTCGCTAAGAGAGTGTGACACCACTGTAGAGATTCAGCCTCATGCATTTCGCTCTTTGTTCCTGCATTTGCGTGTGTTGCCTCCTTTTCAATTCCGTGTGATTTCCCCCCTCTCTCCTTCTCTCACCCTCTCGCCCTCCCATCACTGCAGAGGCACCAATGGCAGCAAACAGAGTGTCTCATGCCCCTCTTCTCTCTCCTGCTCCCCATTCCTTCTGTCTCCTGCCCTGCATTCGTTTCGCCTCCTTCCATCTCCGTGTGTCTCCCTCCCTCTCCCCCTCCCTCGTCCTCTCCCTGCTGCACAGGTACCGTTGACAGCCTACAGGGTGCCTCATGCCCCTCTTCTCTCTCACGCCTCTCTTCTTCCTCCTCCTGAATCCGTGTCTCTCCTCCCTCTCGCTCTCCCCTCCTTGGTCCTCCCTTCCCTCGTCCTCTCCCTGCTGCAGAGGTACCGCTGGCAGCCTACAGGGTGCCTCATGGCCCTCTTCTCTCTCACGCCTCTCTTCTCCCAACCACCACCCTCCCCATCTCCGCAGAGGTACCGTTGGCAGCCTACAGGGTGTCGTACATCTCTCTTCCTCCGCCCCAGACTCTTCTTGAGGCTTATGAGAAACAAGTAGGTGCATGGGTGCGGCGGAGGAGAGAGAGAGGAGAGAACCAGAACGGGTGAATGCCTTTTGAGGCGCCTCAAAAGCTGACAAGGTGCCCCACAAGGCACGCCCCCCTTCTTCTGCCCGAAACCGTTTCTGCTGCTCATGAGAAAACAAGTGAGCGCATGAATGGGGGTTCAGGAGGGACAGGGGCTGAGGGGGAAACGTAGAACACCCATACGAGATTGAAGCAACTTAGGTTGTGAAGGGGGAAAAGGGAGGAGCCCCTGCCTTTGCATGTTAAACTCGAAGTGACTTTTGAGTCGACTCAAAAGTCAAAAGGGAGGACCCCCTGCCCTTGCATTTCGAACTCAAAATCCACAAGGGTGCGTCTTGCTCTAATCCGTGCTTCCGTTTGCCTTGTCAAAATTTTCCCATTTTTTTCTCCTTTTTTTTTTTCCGTTTCCCCCTTATCAACCCTATCCTCATCTCTTCCGCCGCATCTCCCTTCCTCATTGCCTCTCAGGGTGTTTGCATCAGCAGGTGACTCCCTCTCCTACTTCAACTTCATTCCGTCCCTACTTTGCCAGGTACTTTTCTTCTAAGTGCCAGGTACTTTTCAACGCCCCGCCCCTGTTTCATTTTCTCTCAGGGTGTTTGCATCAGCAGGTGATTCCCTCTCCTACTTCAACTTCATTCCGTCCCTACTATGCCAGGTACTTTCGCTTGCCTCCCCGCGCCACGTGTTTGAAGTAGTGTTTTGAGACGTCTCAAAACACTTTGCCAAGTACCTTCCCTTGCCTCCCCGCGCCACCTCTCTCTCTCCGCACTTTGATGCGAGCTGCATCAGTACTTCCCCTGTTCATCAGACGGTTTGACTCAGGCCCCCCAATCTCCTCCCACCATCTCTCCCTCTCCTCTTCCCCTTTTCTCTCACTTCCACTCAAATGCCAGTTGCTCCATGCATCCCCCATACCTCATGTTCTCTCCTCTCCCTCTCCCCCTACCTTTCAATGGCAGATACACCAAGCCTCCCCAGTGCATAGCATTCCAGTCCCTGCCCGCCTCGCTCCCCGCACCAGCCTAGTATACCACGTGCCAGAATACAACGTGACTATAGTGAATACCTGGAGCACCTTCCTCAACCAGTGCTGGCAGGACAAACAAACACTTTCCTTATACAATAACGGCCGCCCGGTCACGCCAGAGGATTCGGTGGTGAATTTGGAGGGCGTGGATTGGCGCTGGGGGCGGTACTTAGCTAAGTATGACGTGCTTTTGCTGCAGTCGGCGGCGCACTGGCAGCCGAAACGCACCAGGTGGCGCCGGTTCTTTACAGACAGACGGGGGAGAGTTGCTTATAACGAGTCGCGCTTCTATCACGCGTTTTGGTAAGGTGGCTATTGTGCCATACGCCTCTCGGGCCTGGCACAGGGCATCTTATAAGTTTA